AGAGAGAAGAGAGAAGAGAGAGATGTGTGCGTATATAAGAGACCAACGTATTTGCTAGCTACGAGTAAGAAACCTGTGCGCGTGGGAAGGTCAATGCTACCATGTTTCTTCCAAATGGCACTCGTGTCATATACACAAAGCATATCGGTAGCGCATGTGTATGACCAATTTAGTTCGCGACTCGGGTCACCAGAAACCGTATTGAAACTCATTAAACATTCGACTCCCGCCAATATTTTCAAGGTGCTAATTAATCGGTGCACAGTGAAATTTGGACAGATTCCCAACACTATTGTGTGCAGAGCGAGTTCAATCATCTGGCGACCTCAATTAATGCTTGACCAGCGCATCCCAACTATACCTACTTCATCCTAACTATACGTACATCACGCATGCGCGCAAACCACGCACGTGAACAGGCTCACCCTACCTCCACGTGTCCGCCGGGAAACCACGAATGCACGCGTATACTAACAAGGTGTGCAGCAATCCATCAAGGCCAGCTAGCACAGAGCTGTCAGGGTGGGACGTGTCTTACGTTTAACGTTACTCGCTGGCTTGGCTGTAAAGCCTTTACAGCCGAGCCAGCGAGTGTGATGCATTATTGGCATGTTATTCCTCAATTATGTTATACCTAAATCTTGCCAGCTCAACTTAGTTATGCTGCTCGGAAGATGAAGTTTGCAGGTATATCAGCAAAATGCTCTTGTTTCCTAAACGCAGATAAACGCGATTATGCGAATACATGAAGAAATTATCAGTAATGGATCAAAATGCTCGATCTATGATGCGTTGGTAATTCACCCTCCACTAATGTTCACAGTTTGTGCATATGACCCCCCCCCCCCCCCGCCTCCTAACCCTGACAGCTTTCTGGTTCATTGCTAGTGACATCGCTTGCAACAGTACTGCCTCTTCCCTCTGATACCACGTTAACGTTAAATATCCGCATTGTGGTGACGTCCGTTGCTAACGGCACATGGTGACGGTTGCTAACGCCGCTGCTTCTTCCTCTTCTGTACCACTAGTGACTAGTGGTGTAGAAAGATGCAGGAAGAGGCAGCAGCGTTAACAACCGTCGCCATGCAGTGTCAGCAACCGTCATCACTAGAAAGACGGAGGAGGAGGCAGCGGCATTAGCAACCGTTGTCATGCGGAGTTAGCAACCGTCGTGGCGACGGTTGCTAACGCTGCTGCCTCTTCCTCCGTCCTTCTGTACCACTACTGACGACGGATGCTAAAGCTGCTGCCTCTTCCTCCGTCCTTCTGTACCACTACTGACGACGGTTGCAGCAACGCTGCACGGCGACGGTTGCTAACACTGCTGCCTCTTCCTCCATCTTTCTGTACCACTAGTGATGACGGTTGCTAACGGTGTCTCTCTCTCTCTCTCTCTTGCAGATGCGCGGCCCGAGGAGCGGGAGGAGCTGTTCGTGCAGAAGATACGACAGTGCTGCGTGCTGTTCGACTTTGTCACCGACCCGCTGAGTGACCTCAAGTGGAAGGAGGTGAAGCGGTCTGCGCTGAACGAGCTCGTCGAGTATGTGACGACGCAGCGCGCCATAGTCACCGACGCCATCTACCCGGAGGCAATCACGATGGTGAGACGTGAGGCGAGAGGGGTCAGGCACGAGGCGAGAGGAGTCAGGTGTGAGGCAAGAGGCACGAGGCACGAGGCACGACAGAGATGTTAAGAACAAAGAGGGACGGGAAGAGTGTGTTAAGAGCGTGTGCGTGTGCAGATTGAGTGTGCGTGTGCGTGCACGTGAAGGTTGAGTGTGTGTGTGTGCGTGCGTGCGTGCGTGCGTGCGTGCGTGCGTGCGTCGTGCGGGCGGGCGGGCGGTTGAGTGTGTGCGTGTGCGTGTGCGTGTGCGTGTGCGTACGCGTGCGAGCGTGTGNTCCTGGTCACTATTTAATATGGTTAGGGTTAGGATTAGGGTTAGGGTTAGGATTTATAGGGTTAGGGTTAGGGTTAGGGAGTAGGCGTAGGCGACTCCCTCGACTCGTTAGTGGAGTAGACGAGGTACGGTTCGGCACATTAGATAGTACCAGGGTACGTTCCGGTATACCGGACCGTACCCAGGGTACGTTCCGGCAGTACCCCGGGGGACATAGACCTTATCAGCATTATATAGTATAGTATAGTATAGTATAGTAGGCATTACACTTACAGAACTTAGAGGGTGGGTAGTGACGGTGTATCGGTTCATGGATCATAAGCGCTGACCACAATTCATTTATGCAAATATGTGACATCAGGAGTTAATAAAGACAAATCTCTAACTTTTTTTCTTTTTCCTCTCTTCTTCTCCCTCTTCTTCTCTTCTTCTCTCTTCTTTTTTTCTTTTTATTTTTCTTTTTCCTTTTTTTCCCCTTTTTCTATTTTTTTTTTCAACTTTTTTTTTTGTTTGTCTTTATTAACTCCTGATGACATGTATGTGCAAATGTGAACAGCTCTTATTATGCTTGGGCCGTATAAGCAGTAACAGCCTCAGGGACTGAGGGAGTACCATACCGGTACATTACAAGCACGGCTACACAAAATGATTACGAAACTACAGCAATGTTTACTAAAATTTACCGCGGCGCGAACATGCAGTTCAAATGTTGACGTCATGGAATTCTCGCGTTCTTCAGTTAATGGCAAATTTGAGGTCTTTTTTCTACTGCGATACTCAGTGTTGATCTGGCTTCGTGTTGATCAACTTTCTCTGTTATAACTTTGCGAACATTTTTTTGTGATAGTTAAACATAGATGGCGCTCGTAATCTTCTCGGCTGTTACTAGAGCGCGGATGCGTATGCTTACAAAATTAATCACCAGTATTACGGCATTCTGTTGTTCATACAATTTTAATTTCTGTCGAATCTGCATGGAAATTACGATACATTTATAGTGAAACAAACATTTTTCGCGTAGACTCCTTATCCTCGCAGAGATGCCACACCATCTGAGGTGCGATTGTTCGAAAATCGGGATTACCAAGAATGGCGGCTAATCCAAAAAAAATTTCCGTCGTTTATTACCGCGCTTTCATTAAATATTATAGCTGAACGCACAATTTGTGACGCCGTACCTGCGATGAGGAGTTAGTGCAATATATATCGTGTGCTGATTGATTCGATTATTTGCGTCTACGTGAGTACATTTCGAGTAGCAATGGGGTCTACTAGGGATCAATATTGACAAAACTAATATTATACTGTACATTCACGCGGCCGTCAAGAGATGCATAGGCCTACTGTATTATGAATAGCTAGCTGGTTTGTTGAACAACCATGGTTAACAGTAATTTTGCAGATAGATTAAATTTTTAAAAGCCACAGGCACAAGAGAAGTGAATTAATGAACGTATTCGATCCTTCCCTTTATGGATTTATCCGGCAGTAGTTTCTATCACACACTGTCTGACACTGTTTGCACTGGCAGCAAGAACAAGCCCGCACCTGCAGCTACAGCACACACGCGGCCATTGACTATGATTATATAACAGTTATATATAAAGCAGCAGCAGCAGCAGTAGTAGCAGCAGCAGTAGTAGTAGCAGCAGCAGCAGCAGCACCACCAGCAGCAGCAACAGCACCGCCACCACCACCACCATCTACTTACAAGTACTGTATAAGCTGTATATTTCGCTGTGGTTCAATTTTCGCGAATTTCGCGAACGCGTGCCCGCCCGCGAAAATAACAACACGCGTTCATACCGAATAATACATAATTCACCGACCGCAAAATTAGCAAAATTAACCACTCGCGAAATTGTCCGTCGTCTAAATTCGCAAAAATATCTGTACGCAAAAAATACGGCTTATACAGTACCTCACTGTCCGTACCTCACCATATACACGTACACGATACGGTACCTCACCATCCGTATCTGTAATACTGTATTAATTTATAAGTGGTAAATGCAGCTGATGACCTCAGTGATGATGCTGTACCCATTACACTTACAGAACTTAGAGGGTGGGTAGTGACGGTGTATCGGTTCATGGATCATAAGCGCTGACCACAATCCATTTATGCAAATATGTGACATGTGCAAATGTTAAATTGACTACGTCACGAATTTTCCATGGTAAAATTTGTAAAAATAAATTGCCATTTTTTTACATTAAAAGTAAGGACTAACGTTACTAAATATATCTTCAAACTCTCACCTGATAAAAATGTTTTTTCGTTGGTTAAATTTGCAAAAATCTAGACGATTTGGTAATTTCTGTTGTCTAACACTATTCCCCCAGTACTGTTCAGATACTGGCGTCTCTCTGGTTTTCACCGGCAAATTAGGCATATAAAGAAGGTATATAAGCATGAAAAGTAAACACAAAACACTAATTGTATTTTCATACATTTTATTTTGTACAAATAACACACAAATATACTACTAGAAATTCGTGACGTAATCACTTTAACAGCTCTTATTATGCTTGGGCCGTATAACTCTAGCAGTAACAGCCTCAGGGACCGAGGGAGGGTGCAAATCCACTTTAGGCACCTTAGGTATCACGAAGTGATGCACAGATTTCTGTGTATCATCAACTGAT